AGTCGCTACTCTACAACTTTCAATTCAACCAATCAAATTTGAGCCCCCTGATCACAAACCCACAAACATGTGGATGTCTTACTAGCTACAATCTTCGTAGGACTAAGCTGCTTGACATTCAATGTGCTTGATGTTAAGAAATTCGATGCGAGGTACTCAATCTCTGCAAAATTTTTGCATTTGCAAGCGGCTTTTCCGAACTGGCTGATGATGACAAATTGATTTAGTGATTGGGTCTAGATGAAGCTATTGATTTTTCCGATGAAGCGTTTAGGTGACCAATTGGGTCGGTAGTTTCAACTACACCCGCACAACACGACTTTCGGATAAAGAGATAAAGAGGTTCCGAGGACACTAATCAATTTATCGATCTCAATAATCGATTAAGCCCAAATACCTGGCAACCATAAGCTGAAACCACAAAATTAACCAGTTATATGAATTAATGTGCAGTGTGAATCATTACCGCAGAATGTACATTATTGCAAGCACTTCATCTGATCAAGTCAAGATTTCCTGTCATCTGCAATTCTGCACATTTGGGCATTGTGAAAATATTCGTTGTTTCGTCTTGCATTTTTTAACCTGTCACGTTTCAGGCATTCATTAGCGAAGTAAAGATATAAATTCACCATCACAAGTGTCTTTATACTTTATTTTATACGTGTATTTTTAAATTACGCTCCTTCAACTCGGACCTCAACAAAATATTGATTAGAATTATGAGCCAATGGGATAGAGGCGGTCTATTTGAATGCAGATATCGCGTTCACGGGCAGAAAACAATTAAAAAAGGTGCCTAACCATTTGAAATGTTGGCGGAATCCTTACTCAGCAGTCGCAGAGTTTAACTCTTTAGTTCTCCGCCTCCAATTGACCATCAGAAATTTAGACCGATAAACCGCCGGTAATTCGATGTTAAATTGTTCCCGGTGAATGAACCTAACGTGGCATGACCTCACTAGGGAAACGAACTTGTTTTACTCAATGTGTAGCTAAATTTACGACTGCGGGTGTGCAGTTATGCAATCACCCCATCTGATCAACCCACGATTTCCTGTTGCTTCTGACTTTGCACTTTTTTACATTTTGACTATAACCACACAAAAAACTGCTACCACCTCGAGGATAAGGGGTAATAATTTCAGTAAAATATTCTCAGTTTATTTTAATTAATTTTGAGCACACTGTGCTTCCATCAGTTATTACTGAAGGAAAATTGCAGATTCAGCACAGTCAGTGTGTTTGTATTTTAATGTACACGTAGGTTTTTTTAAATTCCTCTATTTTGGAGGTGACTCAACGAAATATCGATTAGCATTATGAGCCAATAGGATGAGAGCGGTCTATATGAATGCTCAATGGCGCGCACGGACAATTTTGAAAATAATCGTGTCATAAGTACTTTGATTGCATTGGACCCTAGGAAGATGCTGACTTCTTCAATAACCAATCAACAGTCGTGAGGTCATGCAGTTTCATGATCATTCTCAATTTCATGATCAACTATTTGCACGAATGAACAATCAGTTATTTTATATTTAAGCCTTATTGGCCGATGCAGGTATTGGAAGCACATCAAGTTGGTATCTAGTTAACTCCTATCTAGCTGTTTCAGGTCTTACAGTTGTGTGGCTCAGTTTCGATTTAAAATGTGCGCAAGGATTGATAAATGGACTGAAAATCGAATTAGGTAGAACTGTTATGCAAACCAGAAATTGATTTAGTGGATAAAGAACTGTTAAAGACTACCAAGTCAATGATTTGTCGAAGTTTCGATATCAGTATCTCGATATCGATATCTCGATCGAACTCAAGAATCAATCTATATTGTGCCTGACAAGTACCTTTTCGCGTAATCTTTAAATTCAGCTCGCGTGGGTTCACTGATCACAAACAGAGCATTTGTAGCGTGAGCTGAAACCACAGAGTCAATCAACTCATTTCAATTCGCATGTTCAGAAATCCACGACTGTGGAACGCGTTGCCGTTGTTATCATCACACCACCTAATCAAACCATTATTTCCTGTTATGTTCTTCTATTCCTTAAAAACATAACCCCATTAGACACTCTAAAAACCCTCTTTTTTGTTCTACTAAATTTTGCTATATTATCTACAAACATATTGACTTGGTTTGATGTGCGAATATGTCACACCAAATTTGGTCTAACAAATAGGTACAAGGAATCAGGCATTTCTGGCTCAAAATTACAATAAATGTTATGACAAATTTCATTAAACCCATTTACCACAGATTACAATAGAGATCATCATCCTTATCTAGGTTGACATTTTCAGATGCCATGATGGAATAAATGGTTATGTCATCGGTATGAAATCATTCGCGGCCCAATCATCTCGATCACAAGTAGAAGTTGACCAATGGCCACGCCTCATCAATAATGAAATCGACCAATTGGACGCGACCATCTTTGGGCTTTAACTGTTGCCAATGATAAACAACCTCGAATAAATTAGTCACTACGAGAGGTGGCCGTAGTGGATCGTGATGAGTCATGACTATCATCTATATCGGCGCGTATCCCAGAGCATACATTATTCACATCATTAATTATAATCCAGCTTTTTCATTGGTTGCGTAGACTGGTGTACACAGAGTCAGTGACGCAGAGTGCTGAGTCATCTCGCACCGAATTTGTTCATTAAATCGCTCTGCCCCTAAAAACATCCATCCCTGCTGACACCATCATTTAAACCGTCCAGTCATCTAATGGAGAAATTTCAGATTTTGTGGATGTATGTAGTATGTACGCGGGAAATTTCAATTAAATGGAGGCCGCACTTTGGAAGAAATTCAATTTTTTTTAGTTCCAGTAGCGCTTTTAACAGTTTAAAAAAAGTCCTTCTGGTTAGCATCTTTTTCAGTGTAAATAATATTCATGTTGCAATATTAGCTTGTCGCAGCTGCTACGTCAACGTCAAATATTTGCAGGCAATGTTTTATCTGGTAAAGTGCCTCGATCTTGTCATTTTAACCTTCTGAAACAAAGTTCGGAAAAAAACGTTGTTTCGCGGCTGAGAATTTAAAAAGGGAGAGTATTTTCTGAATCGAAAAATTTGTTTTAAACAATGCGAACGCGTTCGCCTTTGATAGCAAGGATTCCTCCGCACAATTCCATGTAAGACGTTTACTTGGATTACGCTCCTGAAACTTGATAAAATCGATTTTAAAAAATCGATTAACAGTTAGGCGACAATAATCGGCATCGAAAATGATTTCACTGCTTACTTGCTGATGAGTACTGATACACAGTTTGCTATAGAAGATTTAACTGCTATTGTCAAAATTAGCTAATTTAACACAACTAAAAAATTAACACATGGGTTTTATAAAAGTGTAAAAAATTAACCTTATTTCCACAGCCTGTCTGTTGGAATCGTAGATGGACCTATTCGGAACAAGATTTTTAACGTTTCCAACCATTAACCGCCTGTAATCTTTCACAGAAGCAAGCGAATTTGTTGAATCGAACTAGCGTCATATTTCACTATGACAACGCGAAGTCTTTGAGTCAAAACAGGGAACAACAGATGATTGGTTATGTATTGAATTATTTTGATGGTATATTAGTGAATGTTTAGCTACTATAAAACTGCCTTCTATTTTACTGAATAGGCAAATTATATAATTTAGGTAGTTTAACATCAAGTCTAACTGATGTAAAATTTGCGAGCAAGTTAATATTCGTTAAACTTATATGACCACATTCGCTGCTCAAGGTATTGTCTGAACTGCCATACGATCACTCGCAAACTACGCAGTTCAAAAAATTATTCCCCTTTTTTCAGGCACCATCAACGTACATTTAAAAAAACCATCTGATTTGTTTGGGATATGGCTTTGACAAAAATTACGCTGCTTATAAATGAGAAATTTTTAAACCGAATTTGTGGAGTGCCTTTTACTGACTCTGGAATAACGTTAATCAATATCATCCATAAGTTTTTGTTTAAATTCGTTATTGATGTTGACATCGCGCAAAAATTCCCGCCAAAATATGGCGCATTTAAACAAGGTGTTTGAGGCAAAAGCTGACGATAAAATGACCCTGTTTATTGACAGAAAGCAACATTTAGCCACGTGTTACAAATATTTCATAAGATTTATTTATATGTAAAACATATAATTTTACCTAATGACTTAATCTTGAGAAGAAGCTACGACTTCATGCGATGTTTTTTATCGAAGTCATGCGCTACTTGTGAAGACCAAGGGTGTCTGGATAAGGTAATTATTATCTGTTTCGATAATAAAATACCATCCAGCACCCTCTAATAAAGCTTTTGTGTCCTGAAGATGCATGCTGTTAGCAATCTAGACAGTCTGAGTCTCACTCCACCACTGTCTTCGCACTTCGTCAAAACAACACTTGATAGGAATTAAAAGGTTTCTGTTGCTGCTGACTCGCCTTAATCACTTGCTTCAAAAGTTTATGCCAAGAGACCGCATAACCGATCGATAAAATCAATGTTTTAACTACGTTGGTTTGTCCTGTGGGTGTTCACGAGATAAAAAGTTTAATGTGAAGATTTGTGCTAAAGGAAAATCCATCCCAGGTAAACTGGTATGTGGACGCCGAAACCAGATATCTACTTGAAGAAGAAGGTTCTCCTGTCCATTTGGAGGGACATGAGTTTCTGGAAGCAACTCGTCAAATTTTGACTGCGGAATGCTGCAGCCGACGAATGAACAAACCGAATAAAGAATCTGAACATGTGATGACATCTCAAGACACATTGGCTCCATGGTGGTCTCTTTTGAACTGTTGTGTGTTGTGCGTCTCAAGGTAGTTCGCACTTGTGATGACACTGTGGATTCTCGTTTGAAATAGAGGTCTTAGTACTGACGTTTTACTGAATTAATGCGCAATTTCGCTCAATTTTGGAATAACGTGTTTCCTGTTGCATGAGAAGCCTCCGACAGCCACCTGTAGACCAATCGACTTTGAGTTTTTGAGGTTTTTAATTCTGTAGGCATGGAGACAAGCCCGTGGGACGCATCGGCCAACCTGGAAGTACACATCGTCGCCAACGTCTCCATCGTAATCCATCAATGGCTCATTTCGACTGCTGGGAAGGACCCCAAGACGTCGGAGGGACTGGCCTGGTACGATGCCAAGGGACGCCAGCTTCTGGACTCCATTGCCCGATTTTGGTCTGTTCGCGTGGATTACTCCGAAGAGAAGTCGGCCTACGTCATCAAAGGTGAGCTGCTCCATCCACCAATCAGATTGGTTTTGCTTCAAGACCGCTGGTATCCTACCAGTGGTCTTGTGCTTTTTCTCACAAGACAAATTTACTGCTTAAATGATGATGATGATGGTGATGATGATGATTCGAGGGGGTCTCGAATGCGAGTTTGGGTACGAGGGAACCGTCGTCGTGGAAGTTGTGATGACATCTCAA